TCTGTACGTTAGAACGTGCAACATAATTACATAGTGTTCCAACATAAAAACACAGAAACACAACAGAAAAACACTTATGGGAACTTTACATACTGTAGGTGATTAAATGTATGATACAATTCAGAAAAATGAGGACTCACAAATTTTCTTGTACTATTGTTAACTCCTAAGAAATTACATTTCCTATACATCTAAGAAATGTCTCACATTTGTACTCTTTTTTTTTAATGTGTTTTATTGATATTTTACAAAGAGGAAGGGAGAGGGATAGAAAGAGAGAGAAACATCGATGAGAGGGAAACATCGACCAGCTGCCTCCTGCACACTCCCTACTGGGGATGTGCCTGCAACCAAGGCACATGCCCTTGACCGAAATCGAACCTGGGACCTTTCAGTCCGCAGTCCGACGCTCTATCCACTGAGCCAAACAGGTTAGGGCTCACATTTGTACTCTTATGCGGAGAGGGAATTTAGAAATTTGGCTGAGAGATACCTCACATTAATTGCACTCTTTATAGCTTTCTCCAGTGTGAACTCTCTGATGATACTTAAGACTACTGCTCCTTTTAAAAGAATTCCCACATTCAGTGCATTTATAAGGCTTTTCTCCCGTATGAACTCTCTGATGACAACGAAGGTGAGTGCTCTGGGTAAAAGATTTCCCACATTCACTGCATTGATAAGGCTTTTCTCCTGTATGAACTGTCTGATGGTAACGAAGGGTATTGCTCTGGGAAAAAGATTTCCCACACTCACAACATTTATAAGGCTTTTCTCCTGTATGAACTCTCAGATGAACACGAAGGGTATTGCTCTGGGAAAAAGATTTCCCACACTCACAACATTTATAAGGCTTTTCTCCTGTATGAACTCTCAGATGAACACGAAGGGTGGTGCTCCGGGTAAAAGATTTTCCACATTCACTGCATTTATAAGGCTTTTCTCCCGAATGAACTGCCTGATGAAAACGAAGCTGAGTGCTCTGGGTAAAACATTTCCCACATTCACTATATTTATAAGGCTTTTCTCCCGTATGAACTCTCTGATGGTGACGTAGGGCAGTGCTTTTCATGAAAGATTTTCCACATTCACTACAATGATAAGGCTTTTCTCCTGTATGAACTACCTGATGATCATGAAGACCAGTACTCTGTGTAAAAGATTTTCCACATTCAGTGCATTTATAAGGCTTTTCTCCTGTATGAATTCGCAGATGTCGATTAAGGTGGGTCTTATTGGTAAAAGCTTTGCCACATTCACTGCACTGATAAGGTTTTTCTCCAGTGTGAACTCCCTGATGAAAAAGAAGGATAGTGCTCTGAGTAAAAGACTTCCTATATTCACTGCATTTACAAGGCTTTTCTCCCATATGAACTCTCTGATGTTGCTGAAGGATGTTCATAGTGGTAAAAGATTTCCCACATTCATTGCATTTGTAATGCTTTTCTACAGTGTGACCGCTCTGTTGATAATGAAAGCTAGAAAATTGGGTAAATATTTTCCACATTCAGAGCACACACAACACCCACTTCCAAGATGGAAATCTTTGTCCTGAAAAAACGTGTGGGTGCAACTAATGTCTTTCTTACATTCTTTTCTGCTGAAATAGTTTTTTCTACTTTGAAACGTCATCCCACGCATCAAAATAGCAGTTGGACTGCCCCTGGTCTGAGAAGCCTGTAGGTAGAGATGTCCAGATTCAGTAAGGACACTCTGCCCAACCTCCCGACAGGTGAAATGATTCTGGGACACATTGAAATTGCAGCTGTTTGCAAGTGACATCCTTTCCAAGCCTCTTATGTAAGTCTGCTCTCTCACATGCTGCTGGTGAAATGTTGCACACAAATAAAACCGTTTTGCACATGCCCCACACCTCAACAGTATTTGTCCATGTTGTGTTCCCTGCAGCTCCATCATGTGGAAAATGTTTCCCAAGACCAGCCCACAACTCTCACAGGGGTGGCTCTTCTGGGAAGACAAGGCTAACTTGGGATTCATTGCCTGTGACAATCTTACAGAAACCTTCTGTTCAGTCGTTTCCTCCACATTTTCTCCTCCACAGCAGCAACCTGAAGAAAAGAAAAGTAGGTAAAGTGCATGTTGACGTGATAAATACAGAATATCTTCATCACAATTGTTTATGTCAAAACAGGACATGATTCCATACAATGATTTTCAAGACAAGTGAGTCAGACTCTCAAGAAATAGCTGTCATAAGAAAAAAAAAGAAAAGAAAGAAATGGCTATTATATATAACATAGCCCAAAAGGTCACTGAATGAGGAAAGTCTCACCAAGGGAGGACAGAAGCACTGGCTGGCAAGACAAGAAGAGAGGCAGGGTCTGCTCGTTAGTACTCCACAAATGGCTTCCTTTAGGACATTTCATGCTGGAAACATGAGTCTGTGTAAAATAATTTCAATGTGCTCAAACCCATAAAATATCAATCATAGTAAAGCACGGGATGTTCAGCGTCAATATAATACGGGTGCGCTCTAAAGCTCTGCAGGCATGCAACAGCATTGGAGTGCAGTAAAGCCGAGATGTGTGATAGAGGTAGAGGTGCAAAGTTGAAAGAGGTTAAGGTTACCCAAGGGCTGGGAATCCGAGTAGAATGATCACTATTAAAACTGAGTCATGGGCCATGTGTCAACATTAAACAAGAAGTAGAACTGGGAAAAGAGTGGGCAATGGTAACAAAACATTTTTGTTGTTGAACAAAATGGCTTTCTAGTTATGAATGAAACAGAGCCCAGGCATGAAAACCGCCCCCAGAGTCCTTCACCAGGGCAAGACTGCCTCTGGGTCTACCCTGTCATTGATAAAGTCATCTTTCTCCTGTGATGCACAAAAGATTTTGCCTCTTCAATCCAAGTTGAGCCACAGCATGAGATAAATGAGGCAAATCTTACAAGAAAACCTAAAACGAGATATGGTCAGCACTGTGGTAGAACAACAAACCACAAATGAGATCACAGGCAAAAGACCTATGTGAGTGACATCATCAGGATGGCAGAATCAGAGACAGAGAATCTTTCTTCATCACAGACTAAGTAGACAGCTATCCAAGAAAAAAAATCCCACAGGCAATGGGAATAAGAGTACCTTGAAGACAAACGGTAATACAGAATACCAAATAAGGACAACTGCATACAAAGGATGACAGGAAACTGGGTGAGGAAACACATTTGAAGACACCTAAGGCCAAAAAAAAGGGTTAATAACTACCTAACTAAATAACTAAGGAAATAAATAAATACATAGATAAATAAATAAAGGAAGGAAGGAAGCAAGAGTCAGTCCTAGCTGATTGACTCAGTGGATAGAGTGTCAGCCCGCGGACTGAAAGGTCCAAGGTTCCATTCCACTCAAGGGCACATGCCCAGTGTTTTGTGGTTTAAGTCCCCTGTAGGGGGCATGTAGGAGGGAGCTGATCAGTGACACTTTCTCATCATTACTGTTTCTCTCTCTCTCTTTTTCTCGGACTTTCCTCTAAGAAATTGATAAAAATATATTTTTTAAAAAGAGGGTCAGCCCTAGTCAGTTGGGTTCAGTGGATAGAGCATCCGCTTGTTCACTGAAGAGTCCCAGCTTGGATTCAGGTCAAGGGCACATGACCGGGTTGCGGGCTCGGTCCCCGCTGGTGAGCATGGGGGAGGCAGCCAATTAATGATTCTCTCTCAACACTGATGTTTCTCTCTCTCTCCCTCTTCCTTACTGTCTGAAATCAATAAAAATATATTGTAAATAAAAAATAAAAATAAAGGGTCAGCGATACCACTATGAGCCACTGTGCTTCTGTTCTCATTGATCCTAGTGGCCTGTTCTCCAAAAACCTGGATTTTTGTTTCAAAAAACCACACAATGCCCTGGCCTGTGTGACTCAGATGACTGGAGCAGCATCCTGTGTATTGAAGGGTCTAGGGTTCAATTCCCGGTTAGGGCACATATATCACAATGTGGCTTCCACACGTGGTTTTCCACTGTGCACATGGCAGCCGATTGATGTTTCTCCCTCATCTCTCTTTCCCCCTTGTCCCTTCCTCTCTATGTAAAAGGAATAATAAGGAAAGACATAAGAATTTCAGGGTACCCAAAAACAAAAGAGATCTCAAAAAAGTCTAGAGGCAAAGTAAATAACAAAGCAAGCTACCAAAGCTTACGTATAACATTCAGAAAATGTAGCCCTAACTGGTCTTGTTCAGTAGATAGAGCATTGGCTTGAGCACTGAAGGGTCCCACATTCAAATCTGGTCAAGGACATGTACTGTAATTGCGGGCACATCCCCAGTAGGGAGTGTGCAGGAGGCAGCTGAATTGATGTTTCTCTATCATCAATGTTTCTCACTATCCCTCTCATTCCCTTCCTCTCTGTGAAAAATCAGTAAAACATATTTTCATGAAGAAAATGTAATTCTAAGGAGAAATTTTATAGAGATAGATGCCTACATTGTCACAAAAGATCTCAAAGAACCTAACATGGCGCCTCAGGAAAGGAGAAGTCGGTATTTTTTTGGAAAAGCCACACTCAAGGGGCCAAAGAGCCCCATGTGGCTCGTGAGCCACAGTTTGCCAAACACTGGAGGGCAACAAAAGCAGTCTTGAGCAAGAAGAAAGCTCGTGGCATCACACTTCCTGACTTCAATTTATTACAAAGAGAAAGCAAGCAAACGGTGTGTTGCTGGAGAAACACAGACACATACATCAACAGAACAGAACAGAAAACACAAAAAAACTCAGGCACATACTTTAAATAATCTTTGACAAAGCTGCAAGCCACAGAAGAAGGGAAAGAGAGTCTGCAATGAATGGTGCTGGTATAAATGGACATTCACATGTAAACCAACAAAACTGTACAGCACTGATAAAATGGAACTCAACCTGCAGGACAGAATGAAATGTCAGCACTAAAACTTAAAACTCCTCAGGACAACCTAGAGAAAAAGTTTTGGAGGTTTGTTTTCGACAGAATTTTCTGAATGTGACACCAACCACCACACAAAATAGAAAAAATAAACAGTCCACACTGCAACAAATAAAGTAAATAGGGTCTTCACTGCACAACAGCAATGAACAAAATGAATGAAAGGCAATCTAGAGAATAGAAGAAAATACTTGCAAACCATATGAAGGAATCTCTTGGAGATATTGTGGATTCAGCTCTGATCAGCACAATAAAGCGAATATTGCGATATAGACAGAAATTCACACAAATAGTGGGAGTTCCCTGGGAATAATGAAGGTACGTTAATACTGTACTGCAGGCTAATAACAATGCAGTGACTCTGTCTCAAAAGCAAAGTCTATATAACTTCACTAACAATATATTTTTTTTTAAATCTTTATTGTTCAGATTATTACATTTGTTCCTCTTTTTTCCCCCCATAAGTCCCCTCCTTCCAGCTCCTACCCCACCCTCCACCCTCACTCCCCACCCGCTGAGTTCATCCATAGGTGCATGATTTTTGTCCAGTCACTTCCCGCATCTCCCACACCCCTTTTCCCCCAAGAATAGTCAGTCCATTCCCTTTCTATGTCCCTGATTCATTATAATCACCAGTTCATTCTGTACATCAGGTTATTTATTCACTTGATTCTTAGATTCATTTGTTGATAGATGCATATTTGTTGTTCCTAATTTGTATCTTTACCTTTTTCTTCTTCTTCCTCTTCTTAAAGGATACCTTTCAGCATTTCATATAATACTGGTTTGGCGGTGATGAACTCCTTTAGTTTTTCCTTATCTGTGAAGCTCTTTATCTGACCTTCAATTCTGAATGATAGCTTTGCTGGATAAAGTAATCTTGGTTGTAGGTTCTTGGTATTCAGCACTTTGAAAATTTCTTGCCATTCCCTTCTGGCCTGCAAAGTTTCTGTTGAGAAATCAGCTGACAGTCGTATGGGTATTCCCTTGTAGGTAATTGAGCCTCTTTCTCTTGCTGCTTTTAAGATTTTCTCTTTGTCTTTTGCTCTTGGCATTTTAATGATGATGTGTCTTGGTGTGGTCCTCTTTGGATTCCTTTTGTTTGGGGTTCTCTGCGCTTCTTGGACCTGTAAGTCCATTTCTTTCTCCAGGTGGGGGAAGTTTTCTGCCATTATTTCTTGAAATAGGTTTTCAATATCTTGCTGTCTCTCATCTTCTGGCACTCCGATAATTTTGATATTAGACCGCTTAAAGCTGTCCCAGAGGCTCCTTACACTATCTTCACACTTTCGGATTCTTTTTTCATTTTGCTTTTCCAATTGGGTGTTTTTTGTCGAATCTTTGGTTTGAGTCTTGTGCTCCTCTGGTCTGCTATTGGGTATAATATTCTTTATTTCAGTCCGTGTATGCTTACTTTCTAATTTCTTTATCGTAGCATCGAGGGTCTCATTAGTTTTCGTGAGGCTCTACGCAAATTTATGGCAAGCCCTCAAAATTGCGATTCTTAGCTCCATATCCTCCATTTCTGTCATGTTTTTTTGTCTCCGCATCTTTTATGCTTTCTTGGTGCACCCCCTTGTGGTCTTTGTGCGCAGTTTTGTTCTAGCCAAGCCTTAATTGTTGTAGTTAACACTAGAGGGATTTGACCACCAGGCCGACTGGCTGCAGGAAACAGCTGTGTGGAAAACGTCTGCCTTCTGGGGAGGCGCTAATCCAGCCTTTGCCTGAGGCGATCGGCAAATGGTTGTGCGCAGGGCCTGGGCAGGGCGGGCTCAACAGGGCGGGGGGAGGGAGCAGCTATGGCCGCTCTCAGTCCGTCCCCAGGGGCTCTGCCTCTCTGTCCCAACAACCGGTGCAAACCTCGGAGGGGCCGTAGCCAGACAGTCCCGCTTCTCCCGTTTGAGTCTGGGTCCCTAGAGACTCGCCCGGGTCTGTAGCCCAGAGTCTGAGACTCCCTCCTGATTGAAAAGGACAACCGCGCCCTCAGCCGCCAGCCCGCTTTGCGCGCGCACCCTCACCACCGCACCGCCGTACCTTTAAATTTTCCACACTGCGCATCCGCTGAGCGTCGGAATGCTGTTGTTTTTGCTTCTAGTTGAAGAGACTCTCCTCAGCCAGCCTTCCCGTGGTTCTGGTTGATGTCCGCTCCGACTTTTAGTTGTATTTTTGAAGTGGTTGTCCACGGCGGCAGTCTCCGGTGTTTACCTATGCTGCCATCTTCCCGTTCTCTCCCACTAACAATATTTAATTGCTAAACACCTGAGCTTGCTATAAACATGGTGGCACTAGATCTGCAGAATGCAGGGTTGCCAAAAACATGGACTTTGTAGAAAAGGTAGTGTGGGGGAGTTATTTCTGCAAAGCACAATTAAGCACATGCAAAAATATGTGTTCCTGTATGTCGTAGGCAAATAATATATAAAATATACAAGGTATTCAAAAGACTCTAATAAAAAATACAGCTAATAAACAGGATAAGGATGTAGAGACAATTTTTCAAAAATATATACACATTACCAACAGCAATATAGAAAATGCTTTCTTCACTAATCAAGGTGCAATTCTATAAGCATCCTGCAACACTACCAACCACAAGTCCTTCCCTGTGAATTAAGTGCAGCGGGGAGTATTGGGACTTCAGGAACAGAAGGGAGCAGCAGAAACAGACCAACCCTCCCCAGGACAGCAACTACCCAGGAAACTGGAAAATCCAGCAGTACCACAATCTACCTGGGAGGACAGAGCACACTTCGGGGAATGGGGCCTGGGAAACAGAAAAGCCAATTCCAGGTCACTGGTAACAGTGAGGGTCTTACCCAGCGAGGATATAAGTTCAAAGTTCTCCAGCATCACATTCAGGTACAGCTGTCTCTGACCCTCATCAAGGAGGCTCCATTCCTCCCTGGAGAAGTACAGGGCAATGTCCTCAAAGGTCACACCAACCTGTCAGAATGGAGACAATTGAACCCAGAGCTGCCTTTCTGAGAACCAGTAATTCTATTCCTTACACATCTGCCCCCCTTCAACCACCTGCAGGGCACCAGGTTCCTGTGGACACCAGGCCCTAATGCCAGTGCAGGCTGCTCTCTCATCACAGTCCCATTACTCACTGCAATGAATGGCCCTCAGCAGAGCAGCTGGGTTGGGTGGAAGGATTGGGGGAGAGGAGGGTAGAGAGCAATGCCATTTAAGCTCTGGGCGATGCCTGCAGGGCCCCAGCCTTCCTGCCAGCAACACCACTGCAGTCTCCTAGATCCTGTCTCCAAGATAAAGCCAAGCCTCGGTTTATACTTCTTTATGTGCACAACACGTCCCAGGGACCATAAGCTCACACTTCCTCCAGATGTGCACTCACCACAGTGAAATGTTTCTGCCCTGCCCACCTTCAGTCCCCAAGTTCATTCCCCTCAGCTCTGCCCCCTTCCTGCTCCAATGCCACTGGATCTCGCTGGACTCACCCATGAACCTGGCATATGGCGTGTAGAGAGCTTGTAGTCCAGCCGGATCCAGGACCACCCCAGGTTCCTGATGGATCCCACTCATTCCAATAAGCCCCGAATGAGTCTGTGCCGTCCTCCCTGCAGCCTCTGATCTTTCCGTCAATACTCACAGCGACATTCTCAGGGACCTTCAGATGCAAGTCACCCCCGTCCTCTCTGCCCTGCACTTGCTGTGTCCTCAGAAGCCACAACACTCCTCTCTCCCCTCCACCTTCCTCACGGTCCTCCACGCGGGACTGAGCTGCAGGACGGGACAGGCGCCCTCCCCAGGCTGTGGTGTCTGTGTGAGGAGGCGGTGAGGGCCTGGGGGACTGAACTCACCTCAGCCCGTCTCCTCAGCGGGGGCGCCGCCATTGCCCTCTGTGGTCTGAGCCGGGCGGGAGTAGAAGCCGCTGCAGGAATTGCGGTCCCTGTCCCGGCCCTGGCGTGGGTCCGGGTGGCGACTCCGAGCTTCAATCCCAAGTGTGAGCTGTGAGCACCACTGGAGGCTCCGACCATGCGCTGTGAGGCGGGGAGCACCACTCTCCGGCCTTCTCCACGGGATTGTGCGACCAGGAAAACTTGACCACCTGAAACAAAGTTTTGAGAAGGCAAAATCCCGCCACTAGGACTCCCCTTTCCGCCCTACAGACGCGGCCAAAAGGAAGTGCCTTTTCTGAGCCTCCATTGGCTCAGCCTGGTGGCATTCCCTGCCATGCATTCTGGGTATTGTAGTTCCTAAGCTCCAAGGCCAGGGTCCTGCATCTCTCAATTGAGTCCAGGACTGGATTGAGGGGCAAATAGCCCAAGAACACACCAACTACACTCAGGATCCTCCAGCCCCCTCAGTGCAGGTAACGCCTGGGGCAAGTTTGTTTCTCCCATATCCGCGTGGCTGGTTTTGCATATCTTTCTTCAGGACCTGCTCATTCTGAATGACAGGCATTGTTTCTTCATTCAGGACATTTGACATGCATCTTCTTCAGGCCAACTATAGCTTGCAGAGGTTGCTCAAGTCTCTACCTGCCTCTAACCTGCGTCCTTTGAGTCCATTATACAAGGTTAATGTCTCAAAATAGACACTCATACTTTATATTTGTCTAATGTGTCCATTTACATGTCAGCCCTGTCTCCAGATTCCTAAAATCTTGCTGCTGCGAAAAGAGTGCTGCCTGGATACCAAAGCTGTGGAAGCTTTGTACCATGGAATACCATGCTGCACTAGAAATGAAGACTCTCTTACCCTTTCACACAGCATGGAGGGACCTGGAGAGCATCCTGCTCAGTGAAATAACTCCGTCAGAGAAAGACAAGCATCACTTCATCTCTCTCACATGTGGAATCTAATTAATTGAAAAAACAACAGATGGAGTGGTTTGATAGACATGGAACCATGACATTGAGTGCAGAATCTCAGAGGCAAGTTGGAGGGACAGTAAAAAAAGAAAAATGAAAAAACATCCTCTGGTGAGGATTAAGCACAGGCGCACACACACACACACAAAATAAAAACATTCACCTGAGCCTTAAGCAGTTTCTTCTGTTGTCTGAAAGCAAGGGGGAAACTCTAGCTTGCTGGGTTCTGGATCTGCTCTCAATTTGTGGTTAAAAATCTGTCTTCCGTCAGTTGAGTCCCTGGCAATGCTGATTCCCCTCCATGGAACCTTCTCCTGCTTCACATGAGTCAATTGCTTTTGGTATTGTTGTAAGAAATGTCCAAACCTCTCTAGAACTTTTCTAAGTGCATTTGAACCAAGCCTGCCACATTGCTAGGAAGCAAAATAAGAAAAGATTGAGCACTGCTTGGGAGAATGGCAGTTTTGCACCTTTCTGGTAAGTTAGTCTCAATGGAAAAGACATATTGGGGTTTCATGAAATTTATGGATGATAAATTGGGGTTATGGGGTGGGCCTGAGGAGGGAAATCTGAGATTTGATAAAAACTTTAAAAAATAGACACAGCCGTAGCCGGTTTGGCTCAGTGGATAGAGCGTCAGTCTGCATACTCAAGGGTCCCAGGTTTGATTTCGGGCAAGGGCATGCACCTTGGTTGCGGGCACATCCCCAGTAGGGAGTGTGCAGAAGGCACCTGATGGATGTCTCTCTCATCGATGTTTCTAACTCTCTATCCCTCTCCCTTTCTTTCTGTAAAAAAATCAATAAAATATATTTTAAAAAAAATAGACATAAACTACTTTTAAAAAGTTTATTGAACAGTTAACAGTTAATATTTAACACAATAACAATAATAATTGGGGCCTGTGTTCTTCTGTGCTGGGAGATTGTGCCTTTAGGAGTCTCTAAAACAAAAATTTCCCTGAAAATCCAAAGGTATGTTATCCCAGATCGAAAAACACAATACACAGTCTCAATAAAGTAAAAATTGACCTTTGCAAAAACAAAAACAAAAACAGGCTAGGATATAAGTAGCCCTTCGACTTAGTTTTACTTGGAAAGTTTTAACTTCAAATCATATATGGTTACTTTTGGCCTCTGACTTTGTAAAATTCATCAAGTCATGCCAGACTCCCTGAATTTGCTAGGTTTAGTATATGCCAGGGGTGGGCAAACTTTTTGACTCGAGGGCCACAATGGGTTCTTAAACTGGACCGGAGGGCCGGTACAAAAGCATGGATGGAGTGTTTGTGTGAACTAATATAAATTCAAAGTAAACATCATTACATAAAAGGGTATGGTCTTTTTTTTTTTTTTTAGTTTTATTCATTTCAATTGGGCCGGGTCCGGCCCGTGGGCTGTAGTTTGCCCATGGCTGGTATATGCCATCATTTTTTTTTCCATACTGGGGAGTTAGAACCTGTCGGTTGAAGAGAAAATTCAATGACTGAAGGATTGTATGCATGCATATTAGCATAACTAATGGACACAGACACTGGGGCAGTGGGGGCTTGCCTGGGGTAGGAATGGCTGGGGGGGCGGGGGGGGGGAATAGTCCAAAACAGGAGAAAAGAGAAATATGTAAAACTTTAGACAATAAATAATTTAAAAATATGAAAATAAAGTCAAGAAAATTCAATGAGGGTTTTATTTCCTCCCAGACACATTGCTGATATCCTCCTGAACACAATGCCCCCAGTATTGCTGGTGTACCTTTATTTGGTCTCCTAGAAGTAGTCACTCTTCAGGTCAATAAAGCCTTAGGTTCTAAATGTGCGGGAGGTATTGTAAATAACTGGCAGATCTATACCTGGGGCCTTCCACAATATATGAGATGCACCTACTAATTAAATCCCAAGATTGTTGGCTCCTCTACTTCAAACAGCTCATTTGATCAAACTGCTGAACAAGATCAGTTACTTTCAAGGCTACATTCTTGCTAACCCTCCTCCCTGCTGTTGTCACACCTCAAGGATATTTGGCACAGAAGGGTCTCTAGTTAGTAGAAAGTTTCTTTCCCTCCCCGCCCCCCCTTCACACAATTCTGTTTTGAACTCTACATAACTTTTTCTGTAGTCATATTTTATAGGCTTGGGGAAAATACTAATAAGGCACCTCCCTATACATCTGCCAGGCTATCTCCCGGAAAGCAAACAAACTGTAACTTTTAAAGCCAGCCCCTCACATCTACTCAACTTCAGTGCTGTCCAATGCGCCTCCTTCCTTCTCCCTAAGCAACAGCCACTGCTGAAAAGAACTGTATAACTATGGTAACCTCTGCCTTCTTTACCTCTGACTAGAAAAGGTCGGTGCTGCCTGAGCACCGGTGGAAGTCCTTCCTCTTGAGTTGGACTTACCCGCCTGGCCCCCCAATATTCCCAAATTATCTCGTCTTTTCTCTTTCATTTGTGTGCGGCTCCTCTTCCAGATCCTGAACCCTGAACCACGCGGGACGTGGAGGGAAACATTTACAACACCTCCGCAACATGTTTATGGGGGCCAACGGAAATCAGTCTTATGTGGCAACTCATGACAGGGAAACAAGAAAGAACAAAGGGCTCAGGTATTCCTCATTTTCTTCAACAAATTAGACAACAGACTTAGCTTCCCTGGGCACATGAGGATGGTGGTTGACGCCGTTTGTAGAGACCTTATAGGTGGTTCAGATGTAATACCTTCAGCAACAGAAATATGCAGGGACATAGATCTGGCAGGACATCCTGATATTAGAAAGTGCAACATAATTACATAGTGTTCCAACATAAAAACACACAAACACAATAGCAAAAACACTTATGGGAACTTTACATAATATAGGTGATTAAATATATGAGATACAATTCAGAAAAATGAGGATTCACAAATTTTGTTGTACTAATGTTAAGTCCTAACTAAGAAAGTACATTTCCTACACATCTAAGAAATTTCTCCCATTTGTACTCTTATGCGAACAGTGAATATAGAAATATGGCTGAGAGAAACCTCACATTAATTGCACTCATAATGGCTTTCTCCAGTGTGAACTCTATGATGATAATGGAGACCACTTTTACCTTTATAAGATTTCCCACATTCAGTGCATTCATAAGGCTTTTCTCCTGTATGAACTCTCTGATGTTGATGAAGGAGAGCCTTAGTGGTAAAAGACTTCCCACATTTACTACATTTATAAGGCTTTTCTCCCGTATGAACTCTTTGATGATAATGAAGGGCATTGCTCCGGATAAAAGACTTCCCACATTCACTACACTTATAAGGCTTTTCTCCTGTATGAACACTCTGATGATTACGAAGGGCAGTGCTCTGTGCAAAAGATTTTCCACATTCATAGCATTTATAAGGCTTTTCTCCTCTATGAACTCTCTCATGAGCACGAAGGGTAGCGTTCCGGGTGAAAGATTTTCCACATTCACTGCATTTATAAGGCTTTTCACCTGTATGAAATCTCTGATGAACACGAAGCGTATTGCTCCGGGCAAAACATTTCCCACATTCACTGCATTTATAAGGCTTTTCTCCTGTATGAACTCTCTGATGATCACGAAGGGCATTGCTCTGTGCAAAAGATTTTCCACATTCATAGCATTTATAAGGCTTTTCTCCAGTGTGAACTCTCTGATGTCGATGAAGGATCTTCTTAGAGATAAAAGATTTTCCACATTCACTGCATTGATAAGGCTTTTCTTGAGTGTGACCTCTCTGTTGATAATGAAAGCTACAACATTTGGAAAAATATTTTCCACATTCAGAGGACAGAAAACACCCACTTCCAAGATGGACATCTTTTTCCTGAATAAATGTGTCCGTGCAACTAATGTCTTCCTTACAATCTTTTCTACTGTAATAATTTTTTGTCCTTTTAAAAGGCATCCCACACTTCGAAATTGTGGTTGGACTGTCCCTGGTCTGAGTAGCCTTGAGGTGGAGATGTCCTGACCCCATAAGGACACCCTGCCCAAAATTCCCGCATGTGAAATAATTCTGGGACACATTGAAATTGCAGCTGTTTGCAAGTGACATCTTGTCCACACCTCTAGTGAAAGACTTCTCTTTCACATGCTGCTGGTGAAATTTTGCCTGGACAAAAAATTGTTTTGCACATGCCCCACACCTCAACAGTATTTGTCCATGTTGTGTTCCCTGCAGCTCCATCATGTGGAAAATGTTTCCCAAGACCAGCCCACAACTCTCACAGGGGTGGCTCTTCTGGGAAGACAAGGCTAACTTGGGATTCCTTGCCTGTGACAATCCTACAGAAACCTTCTGTTCAGTCGTTTCCTCCACGTTTACTCCTCCACAGCAGCAACCTGAAGAAAAGAAAAGTAGGTAAAGTGCATGTTGACGTGATAAATACAGAATATCTTTATCACAATTGTTTATGTCACAAGAGGGCATAATTCCATACGATGATTTTCAAGACAAGTGAGTCAGACTCTCAAGAAATAGCTGTCATAAGAAAAAAAAAGAAAAGAAAGAAATGGCTATTATATATAACATGGCCTAAAAGGTCACTGAAAGAGGAAAGTCTCACCAAGGGAGGACAGAAGCATTGGCTGGCAAGAAAAGAAGAGAGGCAGGGTCTGCTCTTTATTACTCCACAAATGGCTTCCTTTAGGACCTTTCATGCTGGTGCTATGAATCTGTGTTAAATAATTTCAAAGTGCTCAAACCCATAAAATATCAATCATAGTAAAGCACGGGATGTTCAGCGTCAATATAATACGGGTGCGCTCTAAAGCTCTGCAGGCATGCAACAGCATTGGAGTGCAGTAAAGCCGAGATGTGTGACAGAGGTAGAGGTGCAAAGTTGAAAGAGGTTAAGGTTATCCATGGGCTGGGAATCCGAGTAGAATGATCACTATTAAAACTGAGTCATGGGCCATGTGTCAACATTAAACAAGAAGTAGAACTGGGAAAAGAGTGGGCAATGGTAACAAAACATTTTTGTTGTTGAACAAAATGGCTTTCTAGTTATGAATGAAACAGAGCCCAGGCATGAAAACCGACCCCAGAGTCCTTCACCAGGAAAGACTGCCTCTGGGTCTACCCTGTCATTGATAAAGTCATCTTTCTCCTGTGACACACAAAAGATTTTGCCTCTTAAATCCAAGTTGAGCCACAGCATGAGATAAATGAGGCAAATCTTACAAGAAAACCTAAAACGAGATATGGTCAGCACTGTGGTAGAACAACAAACCACAAATGAGATCAAAGGCAAAAGACCTATGTGAGTGACATCATCAGGATGGCAGAATCAGAGACAGAGAATCTTTCTTCATCACAGACTAAGTAGACAGCTATCCAAGAAAAAAAATCCCACAGGCAATGGGAATAAGAGTACCTTGAAGACAAACGGTAATACAGAATACCAAATAAGGACAACTGCATACAAAGGATGACAGGAAACTGGGTGAGGAAACACATTTGAAGATACCTAAGGCCAAAAAAAAGGGTTAATAACTACCTAACTAAATAACTAAGGAAATAAATAAATACATAAATAAATAAATAAAGGAAGAAAGGAAGCAAGAGTCAGTCCTAGCTGATTGACTCAGTGGACAGAGTGTCAGCCTGCGGACTGAAAGGTCCAAGGTTCCATTCCACTCAAGGGCACAGGCCCAGTGTTTTGTGGTTTAAGTCCCCTGTAGGGGGCATGCAGGAGGGAGCTGATCAGTGACACTTTCTCATCATTACTGTTTCTCTCTCTCTCTTTCTCTCGAACTTTCCTCTAAGAAGTTGATAAAAATATATTTTTTAAAAAGAGGGTCAGCCCTAGTCGGTTGGGTTCAGTGGATAGAGCATCCGCTTGTCACTGAAGGGTCCCAGCTTGGATTCAGGTCAAGGGCGCATGACCCGGTTGCAGGCTCGGTCCCAGCTGGTGGGCATGGGGGAGGCAGCCAATTAATGATTCTCTCTCATCACTGATGTTTCTCTCTCTCTGCCTCGTTCTTGCTGTCTGAAAGCAATAAAAATATATTGTAAATAAACAATAAAAATAAGAACAAAGGGTCAGCAATACCACTATGAGCCACTGTGCTTCTGTTCTCATTGATCTTAGTGGCCTGTTCACCAAAAACCTGAACTTTTCTTTCAAAAAACTATACAATGCCCTGGCCAGTGTGACTCAGTTGTTTGGAGCAGCGTCCTGTGTACTGAAGGGTCGAGGGTTCAATTCCCGGTTAGGGCACATATCACAATGTGGCTTCCATACCCGGTTTTCCAATGTGCACTTGGCAGCCGATTAATGTTTCTCCCTCATCTCTCTCCCCCCATTTCCTTTCCTCTCTATGTAAAACGAATAATAAGGAAAGACATATGAATTTCAGGGTAGCCAATAACAAAGGAGATCTCAAAAAAGTCTAGAGGCAAAGTAAATACAAAGCAACCTACCAAAGCTGATGTATAACATTCAGAAAATGTAGCCCTAACTGGTTTGGTTCAGTAGATAGAGCATTGGCTTGAGCACTGAAGGGTCCCACGTTCAAATCCGGTCAAGGACATGTACTGTAATTGCGGGCACATCCCCAGTAGGGAGTGTGCAGGAGGCAGCTGAATTGATGTTTCTCTATCATCGATGTTTCTCACTATCCCTCTCTTTCCCTTCCTCTCTGTGAAAAATTAGTAAAATATATTTTCATGAAGAAAATGTAATTCTAAGGAGAAATTTTATAGAGATAAATGCGTACATTGTCACAAAAGATCTCAAAGAACCTAACATGGCGCCTCAGGAAAGAAGAAGTCGTTATTTTTTGGAAGAGCCACACTCAAGGGGCCAAAGAGCCCCATGTGGCTCGTGAGCCACAGTTTGCCGACCACTGGAGGGCAACAAAAGCAATCTTGAGCAAGAAGAAAGCTCCTGGCATCACACTTCCTGACTTCAATTTATTACAAAGAGAAAGCGAGCAAACAGTGTGTTGCTGGAGAAACACAGACACACATATCAACAGAACAGAACAGAAAACACAAAAAACCCAGGCACATACATTAAATAATCTTTGAAAAAGCTGCAAGCCACAGAAGAAGGGAAAGAGAGTCTGCAATGAATGGTGCTGGTATAAATGGACATTCACATGTAAAACAACAAAACTGAACAGCACTGATAAAATGGAACTCAACCTGCAGGACAGAATTAAATGTCAGCGCTAAAACTTAAAACTCCTCAGGACAACCTAGAGAAAAAGTTTTGGAGGTTTGTTTTAGACAGAATTTGCTGAATGCGACACCAACCACTGCACAAAATAGAAAAAATAAACAGTCCACACTGCAACAAATGAAGTAAATAGGGTTTTCACTGCACAACAGCAATGAACAAAATGAATGAAAGGCAATCTAGAGACTAGAAGAAAATACTTGCAAACCAAAGGAAGGAATCTCTTGGAGATATTGTGGATTTAGTTCTGATCAGCACAATAAAGGGAATATTGCGATATAGACAGAAATTCACACAAATAGTGGGAGTTCCCTGGGAATAATGAAGGTATGTTAAAAAAAAAAAATGAAGGTATGTTAATACTATACTGCAGGCTAATAACAATGCAGTGACTCTGTCTCAAAAGTAAAGTCAATATAACTTCATTAACAATATTTAATTGCTAAGCACTAGTAACAAGCACCTGAGCTTGCTATAAACATGGTGGCACTAGATCTGCTGAATGCAGGGTTCCCAAAAACATGGACTTTGTAGAAAAGCTGGTGTGGGGGAGTTATATCTGCAAAGCACAATTAAGCACTAGCAAAAATATGTGTTCCTGTATGTCGTAGGCAATTAATATATAAAATATACAAGGTATTCAAAAGACTAACAAAAAATACAGTTAATAAACAGGATAAGGATGTAGAGACAATTTTCAAAAAATATATACACATTACCAACAGGAATATAGAAAATGCTTTCTTCACTAATCAAGGTGGAATTCTATAAGCTTCCTGCAACACTACCAACCACAAGTCCTTCCCTGTGAATTTAGTGGAGCGGGGAGTATTGGGACTTCAGGAACAGAATGGAGCAGCAGAAACAGACACACCCTCCCCAGGACAGCAACTACCCAGAAAACTGGAAAATCCAGCAGTATCACATTCTACCTGGGAGGACAGAGCACACCCTGGGGGATGGGGCCTCGGAAATAGAAAAGCCAAGTCCAGGTCACCTGTAACAGTGAGGGTCTTACCCAGCGAGGATATAAGTTCAAAGTTCTCCAGCATCACATTGAGGTACAGCTGTCTCTGACCCTCATCAAGGAGGCTCCATTCCTCCCTGGAGAAGTACAGGGCAATGTCCTCAAAGGTCACGCCAACCTGTCAGAATGGAGACAATTGAAACCAGAGCTGCCTTTCTGAGAACTAGTAATTCTATTCCTTACACATCTGTCCCACCCTCAATCTCCTCCAGGGCACCCTGTTAGTTTGGACACCAGGCCCTAATGCCAGTGCAGGCTGCTCTCTCATCACAGTCCCATTACTCACTGCAATGAATGGCCCTCAGCAGAGCAGCTGAGTTGGGTAGAAGGATTGGGGGAGAGGAGGGTAGAGAACAATGCCATTTAAGGTCTGGGCGATGCCTGCAGGGCCCCAGCCTTCCTGCCAGCAACACCACTGCAGTCTCCTAGATCCTGTCTCCAAGACAAAGCCAAGCGAGGGGTTATACTTCTTTATGTGCACAACAGGTCCCAGGGACCATAAGCTCACACTTCCTCCAGATGTGCACTCACCAAAGTGAAACGTTTCTGCCCTGCCCACCTTCAGTCCCCAAGTTCATTCCCCTCAGCTCTACCCCCTTCCTGCTCCAATGCCACTGGATCTCGCTGGACTCACCCATGAACCTGGCATATAGCGGGTAGAGAGCTTGTAGTCCAGCCGGATCCAGGCCCACCCCAGGCCCCTGATGGACCCACAGCCGGGAAAGCCCCGAATGAGGCTGTGCCGTCCTCCCTGCAGCCTCTGATCTTTCCGTCAATACTCACAGCCACATCCTCAGGGACCTTCAGATGCAAGTCACCCCCGTCCTCTCTGCCCCGCACTTGCTGTGTCCTCAGAAGCCACAACACTCCTCTCTCCCCTCCTCCTTCCTCACGGTCCTCCACGCGGGACTGAGCTGCAGGACGGGACAGGCGCCCTCCCCAGGCTGTGGTGTCTGTGTGAGGAGGCGGTGAGTGACTGGGGGACTGAACTCACCTCAGCCCGTCTCCTCAGCGGGGGCGCCGCCATTGCCCTCTGTGGGCTGATCCGGGCGGGAGCAGAAGCCGCTGCAGGAATGGCGGTCCCTGTCCCGGCCCTGGCGTGGGTCCGGGTGGCGACTCCGAGCTTCAATCCCAAGTGTGAGCTGTGGGCACAACTGGAGGCTCCGACCATGGGCTGTGTGGCGGGGAGCAGCACTCTCCAGCCTGCTCCATGGGACTGTCCGACCAGGAAAACGTGACCGCAGGAAACAAAGACCTGAGAAGGCAAAACCCCGCCACTAGGACTCCCCTTTCCGCCCTGCCGAAGCGGCCAAACGGAAATGCCTTTTCTGAGCCTCCATTGGCTCAGCCTGGTGACATCACCTGCCATGCCTTCTGGGTATTGTAGTTCCTAAGCTCCAAGGCCAGTGTCCTGCATCTCTCAATTGAGTCCAGGACTGGATTGAGGGGCAAATAGCCCAAGAACACACCAGCTACACTCAGGGTCCTCTAGCCCCCTCAGTGCAGGTAATGCCTGGGGCAAGTTTGTTTCTCCTGTATCCCCGTGGCTGGTTTTGCCTATCTTTCTTCAGGACCTGCTCATTCTGAATGACAGGCATTTTTTCTTCATTCAGGACATTTGACATGCGTCTTCTTCAGGCCAACTATAGCTTGCAGAGGTTGCTCAAGTCTCTACCTGCCTCTAACCTGCGTCCTTTGAGTCCATTATACAAAGTTAATGTCTCAAAACAGACACTCATACTTTATATTTGTCTAATGTATCCATTTACATGTCAGCCCTGTCTCCAGATTCCTGAAGCCTTGCTGCTGCGAAAAGAGTGCCTCCTGGATGGCAAAGTTGTGGAAACTTTGTACCATGGAATACCATGCTGCACTAGAAATGAAGACTCTCTTACCCTTTCACACAGCATGGAGGGACCTGGAGAGCATCCTGCTCAGTGAAATAACTCCGTCAGAGAAAGACAAGCATCACTTCATCTCTCTCACATGTGGAATCTAATTAATTGAAAAAATAACAGATGGAGTGGTTTGAGAGACATGGAACCATGACATTGAGTGCAGAATCTCAGAGGCAAGTTGGAGGGACAGAAAAAAAAGAAAAATGAAAAAACATCCTCTGGTGAGGATTAAGCACAGGCACACACACACACACACACACACACACAAAATAAAAACATTCACCTGAGCCTTAAGCATGTCTGAAAGCAAGGGGGAAACTCTAGCTTGCTGGGTTCTGGATATGCTCTAAATTTGTGGTTAAAAATCTGTCTTCCGTAAGTTGAGTCCCTGGAAATGTTGATACTCCTCCATGGAACCTTCTCCTGCTTCACATGAGTCAATTGCTTTTGGTATTGTTGTAAGAAATGTCCAAACCTGTCTAGAACTTTTCTAAGTTCATTTGACCCAAGCCTGCCACATTGCTAGGAAGCAAAATAAGAAAAGATTGAGCACTGCTTGGGAGAATGGCAGTTTTGCACCTTTCTGGTAAGTTAGTCTCAATGGAAAAGACATATTGGGGTTTCATGAAATTTATGGATGATAAATTGGGGTTATGGGGTGGGCCTGAGGAGGGAAATCTCAGAGATTTGATAAAAACTTTAAAAAATAGCCGAAACCGGTTTGGCTCAGTGGATAGAGCGTCGGCCTGCGGACTGAAAGGTCCCAGGTTCGATTCCGGTCAAGGGTATGTACCTGGGTTGCGGGCACATCCCCAGTAGGAGATGTGCAGGAGGCAGCTGATCGATGTTTCTCTCTCATCGATGTTTCTAACTCTCTATCTCTCTCTTCTTCTCTGTAAAAAATCAATAAAATATATTTTAAAAAAAAGAAAAAAAAAACTTTAAAAAATAGACATAGACGTAGCCGGTTTGGCTCAGTGGATAGAGCGTCAGTCTCCACACTCAAGGGTCCCAGGTTTGATTTCAGTCAAGGGCATGCACCTTGGTTGCGGGCACTTCCCCAGTAGGGAGTGTGCAGAAGGCAGCTGATGGATGTCTCTCTCATCGATGTTTCTAACTCTCTATCCCTCTCCCTTTCTTTCTGTAAAAAAATCAATAAAATATATTTTTAAAAAATAGACATAAACTACTTTTAAAAAGTTTATTCAACAGTTAACAGTTAATATTTAACACAATAACAATAATAATTGGGGCCTGTGTTCTTCTGTGCTGGGAGATTGTGCCTTTAGGCGTCTCTAAAACAAAAATTTCCCTGAAAATCCAAAGGTATGTTATCCCAGATCGAAAAACACAATACACAGTCTCAATAAAGTAAAAATTGACCTTTGCAAAAACAAAAACAGGCTAGGATATAAGTAGCCCTGTGACTTGCTTTTACTTGGAAAGTTTTAACTTCAAATCATAAATGGTTACTTTTGGCCTCTGACTTTGTAAATATCATCAAGCCATGCCAGACACCCTGAACTGGCTAGGTTTAGTATATGCCAGGGGTGGGCAAACTTTTTGACTCGAGGGCTACAATGGGTTCTTAAACTGGACCAGAGGGCCGGAACAAAAGCATGGATGGAGTGTTTGTGTGAACTAATATAAATTCAAAGTAAACATCATTACATAAAAGGGTATGGTCTTTTTTGTTCTTTTTTAGTTTTATTCATTTCAAACGAGCCATAGTTTGCCCATGGCTGGTATATGCCATCATTTTTTTTTCCATACTGGGGAGTTAGAACCTGTCGGTTGAAGAGAAAATTCAATGCCTGAAGGATTGTATGCATGCATATTAGCATAACTAATGGACACAGACCCTCGGGCAGTGGGGGCTTCCCTGGGGTAGGAATGGGGGGGGGGGGGGGTTGTGGCGGGGAAGAGTCCAAAACAGGAGAAAAGAGAAATATGTAAAACTTTAGACAATAAATAATTTAAAAATATGAAAATAAAGTCAAGAAAATTCAATGAGGGTTTTATTTCCTCCCGGACACATTGCTGATATCCTCCTGAACACAATGCCCCCAGTATTGCTGGTGTACCTTTATTTGGTCTCCTAGAAGTAGTCACTCTTCAGGTCAATGAAGCCTTAGGTTCTAAATGTGCGGGAGGTATTGTAAATAACTGGCAGATCTATACATGGGGCCTTCCACAATATATGAGATGCACCTACTAATTAAATCCCAAGATTGTTGGCTCCTCTACTTCAAACAGCTCATTTGATCAAACTGCTGAACAAGATCAGTTACTTTCAAGGCTACATTCTTGCTAACCATCCTCCCTGCTGTTGTCACACCTCAAGCATATTTGGCACAGAAGGGTCTCTAGTTAGTAGAAAGTTTCTTTCCCTCCCCGCCACCCCCCTTCACACAATTCTGTTTTGAACTCTACATAACTTTCTCTGTAGTAATATTTTATAGGCTTGGGGAAAATACTAATAAGACACCTCCCTATACATCTGCCAGGCTATCTCCTGGAAAGCAAACAAACTGTAACTTTTAAAGACAGCCCCTCACATCTACTCAACTTCAGTGCTGTCCAATGCGCCTCCTTCCTTCTCCCTAAGCAACAGCCACTGCTGAAAAGAACTGTATAACTATGGTAACTTCTGCCTTCTTTACCTCTGACTAGAAAAGGTCGGTGCTGCCTGAGCACCGGTGGAAGTCCTTCCTCTTGAGTTGGACTTACCCGCCTGGCCCCCCAATAATCCCAAATTATCTCGTCTTTTCTCTTTCATTTGCGTGCGGCTCCTCTTCCAGATCCTGAACCCTGAACCACGCGGGACGTGGAGGGAAACATTTACAACACCTCCGCAACATGTTTATGGGGGCCAACGGAAATCAGTCCTATGTGGCAACTCATGACAGGGAAACAAGAAAGAACAAAGGCCTCAGGTATTCCTCATTTTCTTCAACAAATTAGACAACAGACTTAGCTTCCTGGGCACATGAGGACGGTGATTGACGCCGTTTGTAGAGACCTTATAGGTGGTTCAGATGTAATACCTTCAGCAACAGAAATATGCAGGGACATAGATCTGGCAGGACATCCTGATATTAGAAAGTGCAACATAATTACGTAGTGTTCCAACATAAAAACACACAAACACAATAGCAAAAACACTTATGGGAACTTTACATAATATAGATGATTAAATATGAGATACAATTCAGAAAAATGAGGATTCACAAATTTTGTTGTATTATTGTTAAGGCCTCACTAAGAAACTACATTTCCTACACATCTAAGAAATTTCTCCCATTTGTACTCTTATGCAAACAGTGAATATAGAAATATGGCTGAGAGAAACCTCACATTAACTGCACTCATAATGGCTTTCTCCAGTGTGAACTCTCTGATGATAATGGAGACCACTTTTACCTTTATAAGATTTCCCACATTCAGTGCATTCATAAGGCTTTTCTCCTGTATGAACTCTCTGATGTTGATGAAGGAAAGCCTTAGTGGTAAAAGACTTCCCACATTTACTACATTTATAAGGCTTTTCTCCGGTATGAACTCTTTGATGATAACGAAGGGCATTGCTCCGGATAAAAGACTTCCCACATTCACTACACTTATAAGGCTTTTCTCCTGTATGAACATTCTGATGATCACGAAGGTCACGGCTCTGTGCAAAAGATTTTCCACATTCATAGCATTTATAAGGCTTTTCTCCAGTGTGAACTCTCTGATGAGCACGAAGGGTACTGCACTCGGTAAAAGATTTTCCACATTCACTGCATTGATAAGGCTTTTCTCCTCTATGAATTCTCTGATGAGCACGAAGGGTAGCGTTCTTGGTGAAAGATTTTCCACATTCACTGCATTTATACGGCTTTTCACCTGTATGAAATCTCTGATGAACACGAAGCGTATTGCTCCGGGCAAAACATTTCCCACATTCAATGCATTTATAAGGCTTTTCTCCTGTATGAACTCTCTGATGATCACGAAGGGCATTGCTCTGTGCAAAAGATTTTCCACATTCATAGCATTTATAAGGCTTTTCCCCAGTGTGAACTCTCTGATGTCGATGAAGGAACTTCTTAGAGATAAAAGATTTTCCACATTCACTGCATTGATAAGACTTTTCTCTAGTGTGAACTCTCTGATGTCGATGAAGGATCTTCATAGAGATAAAAGATTTTCCACATTCACTGCATTGATAAGGCTTTTCTTGAGTGTGACCTCTCTGTTGATAATGAAAGCTACAACATTTGGAAAAATATTTTCCACATGCAGAGGACAGAAAACACCGACTTCCAAGGTGGACATCCTTTTCCTGAATAAATGTGTGGGTGCAACTAATGTCTTCCTTACAATCTTTTCTACTGTAATAATTTTTTGTCCTTTTAAAAGGCATCCCACATGTCGAAATTGTGGTTGGACTGTCCCCGGTCTGAGTAACCATTCGGTGGAGATGTCCTGACCCCATAAGGACACCGTGCCCAAAATTCCCGCACGTGAAATGATTCTGGGATACATTGAAATTGCAGCTGTTTGCAAGTGAGATCCTGTCCACACCTCTAGTGAAAGATTTCTCTTTCACATGCTGCTGGTGAAATTTTGCATGGAAAAAAAATTGTTTTGCACATGCCCCACACCTCAACAGTATCTGTCTGTGTTGTGTTCCCTGCAGCTCCATCATGTGGAAAATGTTTCCCAAGACCAGCCCACAACTCTCACAGGGGTGGCTCTTCTGGGAAGACAAGGCTAACTTGGGATTCCTTGCCTGTGACAATCTTACAGAAACCTTCTGTTCAGTCGTTTCCTCCATGTTTTCTCCTCCACAGCAGCAACCTGAAGAAAAGTAGGTAAAGTGCATGTTGATCTCATAAATACAGAATATCTTCATCACAATTGTTTATGTCAAAACAGGACATGATTCCATACAATGATTTTCAAGACAAGTGAGTCAGACTCTCAAGAAATAGCTGTCATAAGAAAAAAAAAGAAAAGAAAGAAATGGCTATTATATATAACATAGCCCAAAAGGTCACTGAATGAGGAAAGTCTCACCAAGGGAGGACAGAAGCACTGGCTGGCAAGAAAAGAAGAGAGGCAGGGTCTGCTCGTTATTACTCCACAAATGGCTTCCTTTAGCACCTTTCATGCTGGCGCTATGAATCTGTGTTAAATAATTTCAATGTGCTCAAACCCATAAAATATCAATCATAGTAAAGCACGGGATGTTCAGCGTCAATATAATATGGGTGCGCACTAAAGCTCTGCAGGCATGCAACAGCATTGGAGTGCAGTAAAGCCGAGATGTGTGATAGAGGTAGAGGTGCAAAGTTGAAAGAGGTTAAGGTTATCCATGGGCTGGGAAGCCGAGTAGAATGATCACTATTAAAACTGAGTCATGGAACAAGTGTCAACATTAAACAAGAAGTAGAACTGGGAAAAGAGTGGGCAATGGTAACAAAACATTTTTGTTGTTGAACAAAATGGCTTTCTAGTTATGAATGAAACAGAGCCCAGGCATGAAAACTGCCCCCAGAGTCCTTCACCAGGGCAAGACTGCCTCTGGGTCTACCCTGTCATTGATAAAGTCATCTTTCTCCTGTGACGCACAAAAGATTTTGCCTCCTTAATCCAAGTTGAGCCACAGCATGAGATAAATGACGCAAATCTTACAAGAAAATCTAAAAGGACATATGGTCAGCACTGTCTTAGAACAACAAACCACAAATGAGATCAAAGGCAAAAGACCTATGTGAGTGACATCAGCAAGATGGCAGAATCACAGACAGAGAATCTTTCCCCATCCCAGAGTAAATAGACAGCTATCCATGAGAAAAAATACCACAGGAAATGGGAATAAGAGTACCATGAAGACACACAGTAATACAGAATACCCAATAAGGACAACTGCATAGAAAGGATGAGAGGAAACTGGGTGAGGAAACACATTTGAAGATACCTAAGGTCAAAAAAAAGGGTTAATAACTACCTAACTAAATAACTAAGGAAATAAATAAATAAATAAATAAATAAAGCAAGGGTCAGTACTAGCTGGTTTACTCAGTGGATAGAGTGTCAGCCTGCGGACTGAAAGGTCCAAGGTTCCATTCCACTTAATGGCACATGCCCAGTATTTTGTGGGTTAGGTTCCCTGCAGGAGGAATGCAGGAGGGAACTGATCAGTGACACTTTCTCATCATTACTGTTTCTCTCTCTCTCTCTCTCTCTCTCTCTCTCTCTCTCTCTCTCTGTTTCTCTCTCTCTCTCTCCAACTTTCCTCTAAGAAATAAATAAAAATATATTACTTTAAAAAGAGGGTCAGCCGTGGCTGGTTTGGCTCAGTGGACAGAGCTTCGCCGGCGGACTGAAGGGTCTCAAGTTCGATTCCGGTCAAGGGCATGTACCTTGGTTCCTGGCGCATCACCAGTGGGAAGTGTGCAGGAGGCGGCTGATCGATGTTTCTCTCTCATCGATGTTTCTGACTATCTCTCTCCCTTCCTCTCTGTAAAAAATCAATAAAATATATTAAAAAAAAAAAAAAAAGAGGGTCAGCCCTAGTTGGTCATGTTCAGTGGATAGAGCATCTGCTTGTTCATGAAGGGTCTGAGCTTGGATTCAGGTCTCAGTCCCAGCTGGTGGGCATGCGGGAGGCAGCCAATTAATGATTCTCTATATTCACTGATGTTTCTCTCTCTCTCCATCTTCCTTACTGTCTGAAATCAATAAAAATATATTGTAAATAAAAAATAAAAATAAAGGGTCAGCGATACCACTATGAGCCACTGTGCTTCTGTTCTCATTGATCCTAGTGGCCTGTTCTCCAAAAACCTGGATTTTTGTTTCAAAAAACCACACAATGCCCTGGCCAGTGTGACTCAGATGACTGGAGCAGTGTCCTGTGTACTGAAGGGTCGAGGGTTCAATTCCCGGTTAGGGCACATATATCACAATGTGGCTTCCACACCCGTTTTTCCACTGTGCACATGGCAGCCGATTGATGTTTCTCCCTCATCTCTCTTTCGCCCTTGTCCCTTCCTCTCTATGTAAAAGGAATAATAAGGAAAGACATAAGAATTTCAGGGTACCCAAAAACAAAAGAGATCTCAAAAAAGTCTAGAGGCAAAGTAAATAACAAAGCAACCTACCAAAGCTGATGTATACATCAGAAAATGTAGCCTAACTGGTTTGGTTCAGTGGATAGAGCATTGGCTTGAGCACTGAAGGGTCCCACATTCAAATCTGGTCAAGGACATGTACTGTAATTGCGGGCACATCCCCAGTAGGGAGTGTGCAGGAGGCAGCTGAATTGATGTTTCTCTATCATCAATGTTTCTCACTATCCCTCTCATTCCCTTCCTCTCTGTGAAAAATCAGTAAAACATATTTTCATGAAGAAAATGTAATTCTAAGGAGAAATTTTATAGAGATAGATGCCTACATTGTCACAAAAGATCTCAAAGAACCTAACATGGCGCCTCAGGAAAGGAGAAGTCGGTATTTTTTTGGAAAAGCCACACTCAAGGGGCCAAAGAGCCCCATGTGGCTCGTGAGCCACAGTTTGCCAAACACTGGAGGGCAACAAAAGCAGTCTTGAGCAAGAAGAAAGCTCGTGGCATCACACTTCCTGACTTCAATTTATTACAAAGAGAAAGCAAGCAACCGGTGTGTTGCTGGAGAAACACAGACACATACATCAACAGAACAGAACAGAAAACACAAAAACACCCAGGCACATACTTTAAATAATCTTTGACAAAGCTGCAAGCCACAGAAGAAGGGAAAGAGAGTCTGCAATGAATGGTGCTGGTATAAATGGACATTCACATGTAAAACAACAAAACTGAACAGCACTGATAAATGGAACTCAACCTGCAGGACAGAATTAAATGTCAGCACTAAAACTTAAAACTCCTCAGGACAACCTAGAGAAAAAGTTTTGGAGGTTTGTTTTCGACAGAATTTTCTGAATGTGACACCAACCACCACACAAAATAGAAAAAATAAACAGTCCACACTGCAACAAATAAAGTAAATAGGGTCTTCACTGCACAACAGCAATGAACAAAATGAATGAAAGGCAATCTAGAAAATAGAAGAAAATACTTGCAAACCAAAGGAAGGAATCTCTTGGAGATATTGTGGATTCAGCTCTGATCAGCACAATAAAGCGAATATTGCGATATAGACAGAAATTCACACAAATAGTGGGAGTTCCCTGAGAATAATGAAGGTATATTAATACATACTGCAGGCTAATAACAATGCAATGACTCTGCCTCAAAAGCAAAGACTATATAACTTTATTAACAATATTTAATTGCTAAGCACTAGTAACAAGCACCTGAGCTTGCTAGAAACATGATGGCACTAGACTGGATGAATGCAGGGTTGCCAAAAACATGGACTTTGTAGCAAAGCTGGTGTGGGGGAGTAATATCTGCAAAGCACAATTAAGCACATGCAAAAATATGTGTTCTTGTATGTGGTAGGCAATTAATATATAAAATATACAAGGTATTCAAAAGACTCTAATAAAAAATACAGTTAATAAACAGGATAAGGATGTAGAGATAATTTTTCAAAAATATATACACATTACCAACAGCAATATAGAAAATGCTTTCTTCACTAATCAAGGTGGAAATCTATAACTATCCTGCAACAGTACCAACCACAAGTCCTTTTATGTGAATTTAGTACAGCGGGGAGTATTGGGACTTCAGGAATAGAAGGGAGCAGCAGAAACAGACCAACCCACCCCAGGACAGCAACTACCCAGGAAACTGGAAAATCCAGCAGTACCACAGTCTACCTGGGAGGACAGAGCACACTCCGGGGAATGGGGTCTGGGAAATAGAAAAGCCAATTCCAGGTCACTGGTAACAGTGAGGGTCTTACCCAGCGAGGATATAAGTTCAAAGTTCTCCAGCATCACATTCAGGTACAGCTGTCTCTGACCCTCATCAAGGAGGCTCCATTCCTCCCTGGAGAAGTACAGGGCAATGTCCTCAAAGGTCACACCAACCTGTCAGAATGGAGACAACTGAAACCAGAGCTGCCTTTCTGAGAACCAGTAATTCTATTCCTTACACACCTTCCCTCCTTCAACCACCTGCAGGGCACCCGGTTCCTGTGGACACCAGGCCCTAATGCCAGTGCAGGCTGTTGTCTCATCACAGGCCCATTACTCACTGCAATGAATGGCCCTCAGCAGAGCAGCTGGGTTGGGTGGAAGGATTGGGGGAGAGGAGGGGAGAGGGCAATGCCATTTAAGCTCTGGGCGATGCCTGCAGGGCCCCAGCCTTCCTGCCAAGCAAAACCACTGCAGTCTCCTAGATGCTGCCTCCAAGACAAAGCCAAGCGAGGGTTTATACTTCTCTATGTGCACAACAAGTCCCAGGGACCATAAGCTCACACTTCCTCCAGATGTGCACTCACCACAGTGAAATGTTTCTGCCCTTCCCACCTTCAGTCACCAAGTTCACTTCCTCAGCTCTGCCCCCTACCTGCTCCAATGCCACTGGATCTCGCTGGACTCACCCATGAACCTGGCATATGGCGGGTAGAGAGCTTGCAGTCCAGCCGGATCCAGGACCACCCCACGACCCTGATGGATCCCACTCATTCGAATAAGCCCCGAATCAGGCTGTGCCGTCCTCCCTGCAGCCTCTGATCTTTCCATCAATACTCACAGCCCACGGACTCAGGGGAAATTCAGATGCAAGTCACCCCTGTCCTCTCTGCCCTGCACTTGCTGTGTCCTCAGAAGCCGCAACACTCCTCTCTCCCCTCCACCTTCCTCACCGTCCTCCACGCGGGACTGAGCTGCAGGACGGGACAGGAGCCCTCCCCAGGCTGTGGTGTCTGTGTGAGGAGGCGGTGAGTGACTGGGGGACTGAACTCACCTCAGCCCGTCTCCTCAGCGGGGGCGCCGCCATTGCCCTCTGTGGGCTGATCCGGGCGGGAGCAGAAGCCGCTGCAGGAATGGCGGTCCCTGTCCCGGCCCTGGCGTGGGTCCGGGTGGCGACTCCGAGCTTCAATCCCAAGTGTGAGCTGTGGGCACAACTGGAGGCTCCGACCATGGGCTGTGTGGCGGGGAGCAGCACTCTCCAGCCTGCTCCATGGGACTGTCCGACCAGGAAAACGTGACCGCAGGAAACAAAGACCTGAGAAGGCAAAACCCCGCCACTAGGACTCCCCTTTCCGCCCTGCCGAAGCGGCCAAACGGAAATGCCTTTTCTGAGCCTCCATTGGCTCAGCCTGGTGACATCACCTGCCATGCCTTCTGGGTATTGTAGTTCCTAAGCTCCAAGGCCAGTGTCCTGCATCTCTCAATTGAGTCCAGGACTGGATTGAGGGGCAAATAGCCCAAGAACACACCAGCTACACTCAGGGTCCTCTAGTCCCTTCAGTGCAGGTAATGCCTGGGGCAAGTTTGTTTCTCCTGTATCCGCGTGGCTGGTTTTGCCTATCTTTCTTCAGGACCTGCTCAATCTGAATGACAGGCATTTTTTCTTCATTCAGGACATTTGACATGCGTCTTCTTCAGGCCAACTATAGCTTGCAGAGGTTGCTCAAGTCTCTACCTGCCTCTAACCTGCGTCCTTTGAGTCCATTATACAAAGTTAATGTCTCAAAACAGACACTCATACTTTATATTTGTCTAATGTATCCATTTACATGTCAGCCCTGTCTCCAGATTCCTGAAGCCTTGCTGCTGCGAAAAGAGTGCCTCCTGGATGGCAAAGTTGTGGAAACTTTGTACCATGGAATACCATGCTGCACTAGAAATGAAGACTCTCTTACCCTTTCACACAGCATGGAGGGACCTGGAGAGCATCCTGCTCAGTGAAATACTCCGTCAGAGAAAGACAAGCATCACTTCATCTCTCTCACATGTGGAATCTAATTAATTGAAAAAAAAAAATCAACAGATGGACTTGGTTGGAGAGAAAGGGAACCAATGACATTGAGTGCAGAATCTCAGATGCAAATTGGAGGGACAATAAAAAAAATAAAAATAAAAAAAC